TGCTTAGGCAGGAAACCCTACACCATTTCAGACAAATGGCTATCCAACATCATCTTAAAGACTTCCAATGTTGGGGCATTCACAATTTCTGGAGGCAAGCTGTTCCACTGATTAATTGTTCTAACTGTCAGGAAATTTCTCCTTAGTTCTAAGTTGCTTCTCTCCTTGATTATTTTGCACCCATTGCTTCTTGTTCTACCCTCAGGTGCCTTGGAGAATAGTTTGACTCCCTCTTTGTGGCAGCCTCTGAGATATTGGAACACTGCTATCATATCACCCACGTCCTTCTTTTCATTAAACTAGACAATACCCAGTTCCTGCAACCGTTCTTCATATGTTTTAGTCCCTGGTCCCCTAATCATTTTGTGGGAGTAGGTGTTCACAACTCCTAATTACGTTGTAATCCGAAATATTTTCTTACTTTCTTTTCTTGAACAACTGCCTTTTATACCTCAATCTCTCTCACAAAACATTAGATTAACTAAAAAATGTTGAGAATTCCTTGTGGGTAGGATTCACAATATTTTTGCACTGGGATAATAAATCAGTAATCATCAGTAGTCTCATCCTCACACTAATGAATTAAATAGCCGTGCTTTTAAAGCAGAACAAATAATCCCGCGTAGCAATGTTATGCTAATACATTGTAACTTTAGGATAATCTTTGTTTTAATAAGCTGTTGGAGTTAATCAGGTTGTTTCATGGCATTGTTGTGTGTTGAATTTGATAACATTGCAAAGTTTGAATTGTTAGCTTCATGAAGTAAAACTTCAGTTGGATATTATTTATATTTTGGGACTTCTGGTTTTGTAATGTCTTAAAATTTGCAAAGAAGATTACCTCTCATATGGAATGGGGAATTTGGATAACTTTACATTTATAACTTCTGCAGTTCCATTCTTCATATTTTCAGCCTCCAGTCCCCTAATCATCTTTGTTGCTCTTCTCTGCACTCCTTCTAGAGTCTCAACATCTTTTTTGATTTTTTTTCTATTTCTATATCAATCTGCCCACAAAGTTTAATATGCTTGAGATAGATTTTGTTCATGAAGTTTTACAAAATGGCTAGAAAGGTACACAATTTGACCTGAATGGTATTAGCCTTGATGGGTAGAGGGAAGATGGCACTTCACTCTTTGTCTTCCTTACACAATCCCTATAAACTTGACATAGTCAAGCAAGTTGAGTGCAGAAGTATCAAAGACAACACTGAGACTAGATTGTCAGGGTTTTTTTTTAAAAAAAAATCCAGTTTCTCCTATCAGGTTGTAAAGGGCTGTTTATTTTTGTTTTTAAAAGACATTCCAAGACATTTTATTAAAAAAATAATAATTGTATGATGCAGGAATAACAAATATAGCCAGAGGAACAAACAAACCAACAGTGTAGAAACTTGAATTTTTTTTTCAATGAGTTTTTCCCCCTAATCTTTTATATCTGAGCAAATATGCTAATAGCTTCCTGAGTCTTAATATAGGGAGAGATTGTAAGAGAGTTGATTGCAATTGTTTTGATAATCTTGTGTGTGTTTAATGCATTCTCTTCTAATTCGTTTAATTAAACCTATTGTGCTTTTTATTTTTGCCCTACTGCTTTCCGTTGTGTGGCCATGAAAGCATGTAAGATTACAATAAATATCTCCGTNGATGGCGTGCATCCAGGAACAACTCACTGCTGGCTTCTGGATCACTCTCCCTTGTCTCCTCCCCACTGGTCCAAGGCTCAGGCACCACCTGGTGGCCAACCAGTCTCTCTACGCCCTGCTCGGAGTCGGAACCCTGTCCAGGGTCCTCTACATCCTCCAGAGCCGACTCATAGGGCCCCTCACTGTCGGAGTCTGGTGGCAGCTCCAACAACTCCTCCTGGGCCACAACAGTTCAGGTACCATATTTTTCGGAGTATAAGACCTTCTTCCCCCAAAAGAGTGAGGAAATGTTGATGCATCTTATACACCAAATACAGCCATTTTGGGCCTCCCGAAATCCCCAGCAGCCGTCTGCAGGCTTCAGCAGTGCTGGGGCAAGGCAAAACCGGGAGTGTTTTCAGCCCTGCTGAAGCCTGCAGAGAGTTGCTGGGGGCTGAGGGAAGGCAAAAAACTTTTTTTTCTTACTTACCTCTTCGAAATCTTGGTGCGTCTTATACACCGGTGCATTTTATAATTCAAAAAATATGGTACTTTTGTAAGTTGCTATAGTGCAGGTAGTCCCCGACTTGCAACCTCGGTTGAGCCCAAAGTTTATGTTGCTAGATGAGAAGTTACTCAAGTGACGTTTGCCCCATTTTACGATTTTTTTTCTTGCCACCTTTGTTAAGTGAATCACTGCAGCTGTTAAGCTAGTAAGACGCTTGCTAAGTGAATCTGGCTTCCCCTTTCACTTTGCTAGTCAAAAGGTCACAAAAAGAGGATCACATGACCCTGGGACACTGCAGCAGTCATAAATGTGAGTCAGTTGCCAAGTGTCTGAATTTTGATCACATGAGCACAGGGATGCTGCAGCAGTCGTAAGTGTGAAAAACAGTTGTAAGTCACTTATTTCAGTGTTGCTGTTACTTCGAACGGTCACTAGTTGAGGACTGCCTGTACAGACAGTTGTCGGTCTAGTTTCTAACCATTTGTTGACCTTGTTGTCATTATCTACACTTGTTTTTATTTTGGGCTTATTTTTCAAGATATTCTGGGTTGGTTCAGCACAGGATGAAGCACAGAAAGCCAGCTCAATGCCTTGATTCCTGATCGAAAGAAGTAGACAAGAAGGAATTTAATTAAATATCCCCTACCCTGTGGCAGATCTAAACTACCATTATTTTTGCTAGAGATTTCACAAAGGCGTAAGCCGACTGTGCCATTTCATACCATTTTGCTTTTTGACATTTGGCATTTCAAAATTGGAACAGGCTGTAGAAGAAATTACTTTGTTATTTTGTTTTTCTCTCTTTTTTACCCTCAATAATTTTTAGTTTGTTTCTAACCTACTTCCTGGTTTTTCTGACATTTTATTTTTCTGCCCACACTCAGCTAGCAATTTTTGTTTTATTTCTAATTGACCTGGTTTTTCTGATGTGTTGTTATTTATTTATTAAATTTAGAAGTTTACTTTCCTATCCTGATCTTTTTTGCTTCTGGTGTTAATTAATTCACCATTATTCCCAGGCCTATAACAAAGCAATAGAGAAGGTTAGCTGTGTCTATTCTTGGTTTGTCATGCCCTTGCACAAAGTTATGCTTAAAATCAAACCTTGCTTTTTAGTTTGCTAACATCTCACAAAATGGGCTCTTGTTATTTGTAATTCCACTTAATATAACTACAGAAACCCTCTCTCTAAAAGGAAAAGTAGGTGTAAGTATAGCATGTAAAACTTTTATTTAACTGTTATCTTCCATCTCAATGACACCCAGGTAAGATTGGGGCACATTAGAGTTATAATGACAGTAGAGACCAAAATAAACCCTATATTTCTAGACCCACCCCCTGAAAAATAGAAAAGTCAGTGATGATTAAAAGATTTATTGTCTCAAATATTTACTGAAATATGGAAATTGTACTTTCTCCAATCATGTTTGGGCATTTGTGTAACAGGTAAAAGATATATGTAGATCTATATTTTTAGGTTTCAAATTCACCATTTTAAGATCATGTGGTAAAGGCTTCAAAGCAGAGGTGAAATTCAGCAGGTTATGACAGGTTCTGGAGAACCGGTAGCGGAAATTTTGAGTAGTTCGGAGAACCGGCAAATACCGCCTCTGGCTGGCACAGAGTGGGGTGGGAATGGGAATTTTGCAGTATCCTTCCCCTGCTACCACCACCAAGCCATGCCCACAGAACCGGTAGTAAAAAAAATTGAATTTCACCACTGCTTCAAAGCCACATGAGAATAAAGGGAAATGTCACCAGGGATATTCTGGTTGGATCCTGGGGTCTATTTAGAGCTCATGAGCTGAATCACAGCTGCCATGCAGGTATCTTCCCTGCTTGAATGTGTGCTTTTACTAGTTACGCAAGCTAAAACTTATATATTCATTATGTAAAGAAGCATGAGTGAGGACAAACAAAACTGTCCATTGTTTGATAACAGTGTTCCAATATCTCAGGGGTTGCCACAAAGAAAAGGGAGTCAAGCTATTCTCCAAAACACCTGAGAGTAGAACAAGAAGCAATGGGTGGAAACTAATCAAGGAGAGAAGCAACTTAGAACTAAGGAGAAATTTCCTGACAGTTAGAACAATTAATTNGCAAGTTGTTCCACTGATTAACTGTTCTAACTGTCAGGAAATTTCTTTTTAGTTCTAAGTTGCTTCTCTCCTTGATTAGTTTCCACCCATTGCTTCTTGCCCTGTCCTCAGGTGTTTTGGAGAATAGCTTGACTCCCTCTTCTTTGTGGCAACCCCTGAGATATTAGAACACTGCTATCATGTCTCCTCTAGTCCTTCTTTTCATCAAACTAGTCTTATCCAATTCCAGCAATAATTGAAGTCCATACACCTGGAGGTGCCCAGACTAGTCTGAGGCCATAGCATAGCATCAAACTTTATTCCCTGATGGGGTGATTCCAAAATTGCACTACGTTCCATCTCGTATTTGGTATTAAGTTAATAAATCCAACACAAAGGGAAAAGTCCTCCACACAGGTTGGTTCCTCGCAAGGCTTTGAAGATGTATTCCTGGTGGGAAATTCAGTCTTGTGACCTCACCTTTTCATTTCAAGTGGTAGAGTTCAGGTACAGGTTAAACTAAGCCAAACTTCTTGGAAAGGACCCCGTTTTGGAGAAACTTGTATTACACAGATGTGACCAATACCAAAATGTTAGTGATGTGAGAATGGAAAGGAATGGGGGTTTTTCTCAGAGCAGCATGTGCCCATTGAGATCTAGGCTCAGAAAGGATTACAGTGAGCACCCAAGAGAATGGGATTTTCTGAAGCAGACCTTCTCCCCCTGCCTCAGGCTCCCTCCCTGATTTGATCTTTAACCCTTTTTACATTGGTTCTCTTCTTTGCTCAGGAAATGCCAAGCTTGAAGGATCACCCATCCTCCCACATGAACCAGCCAAGGTAAAGCAGGAAGACAGCAAGGAGATGACCCGACCAAGTCGACCTGCTGTAAGTCCCATGCATCTTTTGTGATAGGCATCTGTCATAGATGAGCAGCATAGGCTGCTCCTTTTTCTTAATTTGATGACTCATCTCTCCAAAAATTTTGTACAATTTGGGATTTGGGGAGTGGGGAGAGGAAAGAAGTATCAAGCACCCTTAAAGTATAGTTCAGTGTTCTGACCCCCTCCTCCATCCAGTAACGAATGCTGAGACAAGCTTAACTAGAATGTACTTTAATAGCAAGNGTGAGATTTGAACAGCCGAACTGCAGAACTGCAGTCAGCTGAAGTAGCCTGCAGTGCTGCATTTAACCACTGCGCCACCTCGGCTCTTAAGATCTACCTTAGTCATGTACTCTCTCTAGACCAGGGGTTTCCAATCCTGGCAACTTTAAGACTTGTGGACTTCAACTCCACAAGAGTTGAAGTCCCTTCCAAACTATAAGTCCCTCCAAATTAGGATATCTAAACTGAAGAAAGAGAAGACAACTGGTCCAAGTATGTTCATAAATCCCAGATTGAAGCCAATGTAGGAAAATAAGTCAGGACCTTTACTAAACAGCTACTACATCAAAGATGATTGGTACCTTTATTATAGTTTTTGTTCATGCAGGCTAAGAAGTACATTCACAGAAGTATCATCATCTTACATTCTGAAATTATAGCAACTCTTCCAACCATGTAAAGCGACTCTGAGACATGCTACATTGAACACCAGTGTATCTGTAATACACTGTGGATTAAAATTGTTGTTTTCATGTGTGATTGGAAACCTAAGAAATGAAACATTTAGGCCCAGTTTTTTGGGGTGCGGTGGGGTTCCTTTCTCTTGCTTGAATGATTTGTGAGCAGTAATTATGAAGCTCTACCTTGGATATCCAAATTATAATCGTGTTGCAGTTGAGAGTGTATAAGCCAATTTTTTTTACTATTTAATTCTCTAGTTGGATGATGGTGAGCAGACTAATTTAAAAGTAATACGATGTATTGCTGCAGGTAATTGGAAACAATCCAGTCAGAATGAATGAGTCATTCATTATTAGACTTTGAAAAGGTATATTAAAAAATATTCATGCTGCCCAAATCTTAATTGGACTTGTTTTCATTTGGGGATGGGAGCGGGGAGATTCACCTAAGCATTTAGGAATTGATTTGTTAGCAATGAAAATATTTGCTTAGATTAGGCCAAAAATTAATTATGTTTGTTGGTAGTAGAAGCTATAGTTGTTGTTTTCTTTAATTGTATATAAAAAAAAATACAGTGGGGTGTGGGAATAGGAAGACTGTATTCATCTGGAGAGTAGAAACAAAAGTGCCAAACATTCATCTATGATTATATTCCTTAAACTATTAATATTGGCTTGATGGTGATGATGTTTAATCTTATTGCCCATTATTTGAGCATGCCTTTCCTACATATTTCAAGGCACCATCCATAAGATTTGCTCCTCCAATTTTTAGATTTGAGAATTTTAGAATTTAGAATAACGGAGTTGGGGAGGACTTTGGAGATCTTCTAGTCCAACCCCCTGCTTAGGCAGGAAACCCTATACTCTTTCAGACAAATGGTTATCCAACATCTTTTTAAAGACTTCCAATGTTGGGGCATTCACAATTTCTGGAGGCAAGCTGTTCCACTGATTAATTGTTCTAACTGTCAGGAAATTTCTCCTTAGTTCTAAGTTAGTTCTAAATGGTTCTAAATGGACTAATTTTTATCAGAAGGGAAAGCTGGGTGAAACTACTTTGAGCTAGATTCTAAAGTAACGTTAGCATAAATTTGATAGTGGTTAAAAGAATGCGGAATGATCTATGTTGTTTAAACTTTGCTAGATGGGACTATTTTAAAACAGAAGGTTAACTGACTCTTGCTGAAAGTATTATTTGAA